TAACACAGAGCTGATAATCTACTCTAGCTGCTGTATATATTTTCAAGATTACTGGTATTTTCATGTGGAACGTATTAATTTTCATGCATCCATTCACTGTTTCTTTACATTCATTCAAATGCTGTCAACTAGAAGTCTCATTTGGGTTTTTTGTCAGTCTTCAGCAACAGCTTTTCCTGAAGTGAGGACAAGTGATTGCATGTGGATGGCAGAAACCCAATTTGCATATTTGAGATTTGATTCGTATGATGTCACTTAAAGTATAATTGTATTTGTGTACCCAATATAGTGGGGGGGTATTATAACTTAGTCCTTGTATATGTCAGTCCATACTTCCATCCATCACAGTCTCATTAGCACAGCTGTTTTCCACATTGTTTGATGCACTTCAATAAAACTTCGTCAATATTATGGTCATCACTTGAAGATGCAGTTTTTGTTAGAGATATTGCCCTTTTCTAGCACTATTTGAGCAGTTGTTTATTGCCATGAAAACTCAAATTTATTATGCACAAATTAATAAATCACATTGCTACAGCAATTTGTTTAATTTGTTACCCTCTTTGTCCTTAAGCAAGACATAATCTTGTTAGCACAGCTAATCCCAGTTTTTGATGGATTGTCACCAAAAGTTCCCAGTATGCATACAAACTACATTGCTTATGCAATTTTTGCTAGAATTATTGCCCTTTTTGTCTTGTAGCTGAATCCATTATAGAACCTAGCAAACACCATGATATTAAAAACTCAATAACTTAAAATATCTGAAAACTCATGAACAAACCTATATTTATCCGTAGAGATGAAACATGGATGTCAGCTTCTGTGTAGAGAAAAGGATATGAGCTGCGGCATTTTCTGGATTTGCATGTATTTGAAATGTGTGCTTTCAATTCTGCAGCAAAGAGTCAGGTGCTAATTTTAGTAATGAGTATTCTAAACTTAAGAATGTTAAAGGACTGAAATTCCATCAATAAAACGTTCTTTTTTTTTTTTTCACTTACAGCTAGGATAAGCTCTCAAAAGATTCTTTTTTCTTAAACATAACTTATATTATTAACCAATCCTGGACAACAAATCCCATATTTACTGTATTGTATGTTCACCCATTTCCAGGCTGGTTCCCATTTTTCCATATAATTAGTACCATGTGCCCTCAACTACAATGTCATTAGCACAAGTTGGTATATCACTCAGAGATGCACATATTCTTACATCATCACTTTGCTTCCTGCAATTTTTGTTGTGCTTTTGTCTTGACACAATTGCAGAGGCACAACTAGTCCTGCAGTTTCTCTGAGATTTCCTTGAAAATTTGTAAATATTATGGTCTCCACCAGCAAAATATATGGACAGTCAAATTGCTGGAAGCAAAGTGATCTGACAATGTATCCATCTTTGAGTGATGACCATATGAAGTTGGTAAAAAAAATGTAGATACGAAGATCCATTCAATAGTGATAGCAAGATACACACACACACACACACACACACACACACACACACATACATATAGATATATGATTTATTCCAAAGATGAAATGATTTAAGGTTATATTTAGTGCTGATGTATTCCAAAGATGAAATGATTTAAGGTTATATTTAGTGCTGATGTATTCCAAATTTGTAAAGATTTAAGATTCAAGCAACTCTTTATATTTTACAGCAGCAGTAGTCAGCTGGTGTGGCGGTCAGTGGTCAGCAACCCTCAGCAGAGAATTCAGGAACTGGAGAGCAAAGTCCAAAATCTTCAGGCAGAACTAGAGAAGGTTTATTTTGACCCTTCATACTAGTGAATAGAAAAGTTTAGCTGCATTTCCTTTCAAAGATTGTATGAACAAGTTTGTTCCGACATGTTTCCTTAATAGCAAAGCAGGTTTTAGGCATATGTTTGTTTTTTTTTTACAACATCAATGCAAAAGTGAGATACCTAGGTCACTTTTCTGTTGGCAGTGGTGTTAGCCCCACCAGTTGTGTTATGGTTTTGGTTTTGGTTCAATTTTTTTCATGCTTGTTTGGGTTTGACATTTAGGCCATGAGTTAGGCCTGTCAGTTTGGGTTTTGGATATGTAGATATAATGACCCATGAGTTTGGGCTTGACATTTGAACCTATGATTTAAGGTATGACTTTTAGGCCCATGAGTTTATACATTTACACCAATGTTTTGAAGTTTGACCTTTAGACCCATGTCTTGGGGTTTGACTTTTAGACCCATGTTGTGGGGTTTGACTATTAGACCCATCTTTTGGGGTTTGACTTTTAGACCCATCTTTAGGGGTTTGACTTTTATACCAATCTTTTGGGATTTGACTTTTAGACCCATGTTGTGGGGTTTGACAATTAGACCCATCTTTTGGGGTTTGACTTTTAGACCCATCTTTGGGGGTTTGACTTTTAGACCCATGTTTTGGAGTTTGACTTTTAGACCCATCTTTTGGGGTTTTACTTTTAGACTTGGATGCGGTATATCATGGGTTTGAATCTTGGTCTTGTCATACCAAAGACTAATTCTAATGGTACTCACTAGACACTCAGCATTAAGAGTTTTGTGTTAGTACTGGTCGACCTGGTATCAGAATAATGTGACTTGGTGGGACATAATGCTACATGTCTGTGGCATGATACCCCAGTGCAAGACAACACTATAAACTGCCACACTGCAGACATCATAGTGAGATGACTGAAAAATTGTTATAGCTATGTTAAAAATCCAAAATCACACACATGAGTTAGACAGTTGGCTTATGATTTTGGATTTTTGACATTTCAACTTTTAGGCCTATGAGTTTGAGCTGACCCTGTGTTTGGATTTGACATTTATGCCTATGAGTTTGGGCTGACCCCCTGAGTTTGGGGTGAGATTTAGGCCAATGAGTTTGGGCTTGACATTTAGGCCTATGAGTTTGCAGTTGACATTTATGTCTATGAGTTAGGGTTTGACGTTTGAACATTGTGCCCCCTGTGTTTGGGTTTAGGTTTCACATTTAGGTGTATTAGTTTGGGCTTGACACTTAGGTCTATGAGTTTGGGCTTGACACTTAGGTCTATGAGTTTGGTCTTGACACTTAGTTCTATGAGTTTGGGCTTGACACTTAGGTCAATCAGTTTGGGCATGACACATAGGTCTATGAGTTTGGTCTTGACACTTAGGTCTATGAGTTTGGGCATGGCACTTAAGTCTATGAGTTTGGTCTTGAGCTTTACACTTAGGTCTATGAGTTTGGTCTTGACACTTAGGTCAATGAGTTTGGGCTTGACACTTAAGTCGATGAGTTTGGGCTTGACACTTAGGTCTATGAGTTTGGGCTTGACACTTAAGTCTGAGTTTGGGCTTGACACTTAAGTCTATGAGTTTGGGCTCGACACTTAGGTCTATGAGTTTGGGCTTGACACTTAAGTCTATGAGTTTGGTCTTGACACTTAGGTCAATGAGTTTGGGCATGACACTTAGGTCAATGAGTTTGGGCATGACACTAAGGTCAATGAGTTTGGGCATGACACTAAGGTCTATGAGTTTGGGCATGACACTAAGGTCTATGAGTTTGGGCATGACACTAAGTAAGGTCTATGAGTTTGGGCATGACACTTAGGTTAATCAGTTTGGATTGGACATTTAGGCCATTGAATTTGGGTTGACATTTACTCCTATGAGTTAGAGTTTGACATTTAGATATTTATGCCCCATCCTTTTCACACTGAGAAAGCAAAAGAAATAGATGTGGAAGAAATTTTTAATCAAATGTTTATGAAAGTCTTTAATTAGAAGAAGACCACATGTATAACTTAAATTAGAATTATGATGCTTGAACTAATTTTGTTAAATTAAAGAGTCATATTTTGATCTTATAAATGAGTACTCTACATACATATTTATCCTTTTTGCCAGTAAATAAGTTTTCTTTGTTACAGGAAAGACAAGAGAATGTCCAGCTAGAGGCAGAAGTCCAGCATCTGCGAGCAGAAAATGTACGACTTCAGGAGGAGTCCCAGACAGCTGCTGCTCAACTTCGCCGCTTTACAGAATGGTTCTTCAGTACAATAGACCGGCAGTGACTGCGACAAACAAAAATAGTCTAGGCTAAATCAATGCCAGGGTTAGGTATGGCAGAGTCCTTTCGGAACCATCTCAGACATAGTGTCCTTATTCAGAACCAACGCATGTGCTCCTACCACATCAGCAGCTGTGGCCCCCATTGTACACTGCTCTCTGCATTAATGTTGTTAGGAAAGTACAGTACTACAGGCAAACAGGGCACCAGACTATTGCCATAATGATAAGAGAGCTTAAAGCTAACCTCAGAATTTAGTTCATACGGGTAACTAGTGAAGAAATTAGTCATCCCATTATATATCAGTGAGAAGCAAATAAGTTACTGGATCATATTTAGACATTATAACTGCACCATAACAGAAAATCTGGGTATTTATAGATAAATTGACTGTACCCTTACATTATGACAGTACAGTCTCAAATGCAGTTGATTTTTATTGCACTTATTGATGAAATAATTTCACCATGTTGGAAAACTAATGCACATGGACATAGCTATGAGTGCATATAGATAACACAACAGTGCAAGACTGCTGCATAGTCTCAGATGAATGGTGATGTCAGGCTAGTGTCCTATCAACTGCTTATAGGTAACGGATAATACCATGGGACATTTGCACTGTCCCTGATAAAGGTTATCAATGTGGTGCACGAGACGATGAGTTTTTCTAGTGATCCAAGATACTTAGCACACGAAACCAGCTTACCACCTCATACCGACATATTTTTTATACTGTTAGATAACAAATGTAGTATATTACAAAGAAACATATAAAGCAGGGAGAAAATTGAGACATGGAAGCATCTAAACTAAATAGAATCATCATTAGTGTTCATGTAAGTTACAAAGTTAGCCACATCTTTTTTTTGTAAAAATACTAACATAGTAGACCGATGAAAGAAGACAAAAATTTATGTGTTGCAGATTTATCAATTCTTGGTATGAAGCTATTTTAGCTCTGTTGGTAGAGCATTAGACTCCTAATTCAAGGATTGTGGGTTTGATATCCACACATGCCAGCCCAGGTTGGCTATCTCAGTGTGTCAGTGTCGTTGGGAAAGGCACCAAGCTCTTATTTCCTTATCATTATACAGTCAATAATGAGTTAAGACAACAATAAAAACACATTAATTCCTTATTATACAGTCAATAATGAGTTAAGACAACAACAAAAACACACCATTTCCTTATCATTATATAGTTAATAATGAGTTAAGACAACAAAAACACACCATTTCCTTATCATTATATTGTCAATAATGAGTGAAGACAACAACAAAAACATATCATTTCCTTATCATTCATTATACAGTCAATAATGAGTTCAAACAACAACAAAAACACATTTTCTCTTGGATATTTACCTTTATTATGCTTGTTTACCTCAATTTGCAGTTTTTCAGGTGTTCAATCACTCATTGACTATACCAACATGGGAAATATTATCTTTGACTTTACCAACATGGGAAATACTATCATTGACTTTACCAACATGGAAAATATTATCATTAACTTTACTAACATAGGAAATATTATCTTGGACTTTACCAACATGAGAGATATTATCTTTGACTTTACCAACATGGGAAATATTGTCATTGACTTTACCAACATGAGAAATATTGTCATTGACTTTACCAACATGGGAAATATCATTGACTTTTCCAACATGGGAAATATCATTGACTTTACTAACATGGGAGATATTATCTTGGACTTTACCAACATGAGAAATATTATCTTTGACTTTACCAACATGGGAAATATTATCTTTGACTTTACCAACATGGGAGATATTATCTTTGACTTTCCCAACATGGGAAATATTATCTTGGACTTTACCAACATGGGAAATTTTATCTTGGACTTTACCAACATGAGAGATATTATCTTTGACTTTACCAACATGAGAGATATTATCTTGGACTTTACCAACATGGGAAATATTGTCATTGACTTTACCAACATGGGAAATATTATCTTGGACTTTACCAACATGGGAAATATTATCATTGACTGCACTAACATGGGAAATATTATCATTGACTGCACCAACTTTAATATATCATTGACTGTTGCAACTTTGATACAGTATCATTGACTAGCAACTATCACTGACTGTACAAACTTGGACATATCATTTACTGTATCAGCATGGATATAATATCATTTATTGAATCAACTTGGATATGATGGCATTATCTGTACCTTCTTTGGAAATAATATCTAGTGAACTCCAAAAATTATTTACAATTCTTTTGGCATCAGTTTGATCCATCCTGTTTTATTGACAGTCTACAAAAATTTCATTGCCTTCCTTCATGCTTAAGATCATGCTAAACTAGACGAGTCTGTTGGGATGAAATAATTCAACTATGTCGATTTGATGATGAGAATCCATGAAAAATGTATTGGTGTTATTTGTACCAAGATTATATATAATTCTTCATAACTTAGTGGAAATCCTGTCAACATTGTCAAGATAATTGTGCATTTATGATAGTCCTATTATGTAATTGTTATTTTATATTGAATTGTCTCAACTGAGATATTTTAAATGGATCCATTTAACACATAGTTCAAGATCTGTAGTGAGGATATGCCTTTTAAATGCATAATTTATTAATCAACATTTATCTCAGCATTTTTTTATCTGGTTTTCTTGTAAATCCAAGTTTTATCATAGACATGTAAGAACTCTGTTGTAGATGGATTTTAAAAGATGTTATACCATAATTATTTTGATGTAAACTTGTGGTGTGGAAGTATGAAGAAGCTGGTGGCTTTTATATGCCTTGGCTTAAAATATTGTCATGATAAATACCTGAACTAAATGTATCTAATCTTTGTAAGATAATGTTTTTCTATGTTTGTACCAATGATTACTGTTCATGTTTGTAAAATTTTAATAAGCCTTTATAGATTTAGTTCAATAAAAAGTTGGATAAATATCTGAGATTTATTTTAGCTGTAAATTTTCTTTCCTTACAGAGAATTGTCTTTTGCTAAATAGATGAAGCGATTATTCCTATAGAAATTCACTCTAGGCAGGAAATTATTGATATTCCCCGTGTTGGTGATTTTTGGTCCAATTTTAATTGTGTTCAGAAATAGATGTTTCAGTTTTTAATAGCTTGTATCATTACTTGAAAAATTAACGAGTGGTCAAAATGAGCTTGATTTGATTCTTCAGGGTCTTGTAACAAAGAAGCTTTGTACAGCAAAAAATACTCAGTCAAAAAGTGCTTATTTATAGTAATATGAATTCATTAATTTAATGGTGTCCCCATTTTTGTGGATTTCAATAATTGTACAGACCACCCCAATAATTCCCAGTTTGTGAATTTAAAAAGAAACAAAAATATATTTTTTGAACTTTGAAAACTGACACCCACTAAAATATGTATAACATTCACTCGTATAGCAATCTTCAGTAGGCCACAGATTAAGAAATTTATGAAGAATTTATTATTTAATTCTACTGATCAGAGACAATTAGAGTTTATTGGTTGGGTCTGTTGTTCATTGTACATATAACCATTGGAGCTTATGGGTTTGGTCAGTATGATCATTATTATTGTTAGTCCACACATAGCATTGCTTTGAAACTATACACACACATTCATCTCATGGTCCAGTTTGTCTTAAATGATAATGGTGCTGATTGGACATCCAGTATATCAATCACTGACCATTTGAAATATCTTGTTATTGCTATTCATGCTGAATCGATGGTTATATCAACATAGAGTTTTCACTTAAAAAGTACTAGTGACTAGTTGGTCCTAAATGAAGAAAGTGTATGTTTGATATCCAATATGGCCACCATGGCATTTATCTTGAAAATGTTATTACTATATGGATAGTCAGCTTGGGTGTTCAGAAAAAAACGTTTTCTCATTTCTAGTTGAGCCTAGATGAAAAGGGTGCCAATCTGTCCAATATGGCTGTGGCAGCCATCATGACTATTCCTCTTGAATAGATGAAGATTTGGAGTTTTCACTAGACTTATGATGTCTAGCTTGTCCTAAAAAGAAATGATGCCATTCTGATAGCCCTTATGTCCATCATGGCAGCTTTGAATGGTCATATTAACATGGAAGTTTAACTAAGACATTCAAAATGGCTGCAATCCTCTTATCTCTACTCCCAAATCAATTTGCTACTTATGAATTGATGGTCCAGTTGGCATGGAGTTTTCACTGAAAGAATTCCTGTTGGTCCAAAATAAAAATGGTACCTATCAGACTGCCATTGTCTTAAATATTTTGTTAACTCTACCTGAACAGAAAGCCATATTGAGATGGGGTTTTCTCCAGAAAATTTGTTATGATATCCAGTTTGTCTAAATTGAAAATGGTGTTGATCTGATGTCCAATATGGCTGAAACATAGAAATCATCTTGAAAATCTTATGATATTATTATCACTATTCCCAAATGGATGGTTATGTCAGCATCGTTTTTTTTTTTTACCAAAAGACTTCAATATCAAGTTGATAAAAATGGTGCCAGTCAGACATCTAATATGGCTGCCACAAAGACTGTCTTCAAAATCACTACTCCATCCTCATTGCTAATCATTATGACCTGTTGTTTTCACTACGAGTTTTAATGATGTCTACTTTGTTGAAAATGAAAATGTTACCAATCTGACATCCAATATGTGCATCACAGCAACTAATTTGAAATTTTTGATAATCATTGAAGACTATCATATATTATTTTAACAATTGTCATTAAAAAGGTAGAGATGGTTTGTATTTAATTGGCATTAATTTATTTTCACCCAGTCAAGCATCAGTCCTTTAGAGGGGCTCTTGTTTCATTCATGAACTATTGTTGTGAGATTTAACATTTTTATTTAATAGACTTGAGAAGCATGTACATGTACACAGCTTTTCATAAGTTATTGCCTTTTACTCAAATATTTGTGCCTTTTATCAACTACTTTTCTGTTGGCTTTTAAAAGCTGTTTGTAGATAAGCATTTTTGTTCCATTTTAAGATGTACTATAATTGCATTGAATCACAAGAAAAATCTTTTATGGGAAATGTAGTATGTCACTGTTTTTTTACTTCCTCTTTTCCTCTTTTTTTTTGTTTCTTCAGACAATCAAAAGACATTTAATTCTAAGGCAATATTTGTTATTCTTTGATCACATTTATACCATTCATTTCATCATTAATGATTTCCCGCAAAGTTAAGGTCACAATAACATATTGATATAAACCATTGTATTTAAGTAATAACTTGAATCTAATGTTTCATTACATTTAATTATTATTCATGTTAGATTTTAAATTGAAGACAATAGGAATACAGTCCTACATATTTACCTGATAAATATTCTTATGGAAAAAGACACGAATATTTCTTGATATTTTTCCATCTTTCATCTTCCTATCTACAGCTGTCTTTAGTAGAATTTGTTGCATTTAAGGAAAATATGCTATGCCAGTTTCTAGATAAGGAGATGGCAAAGCAGATGAAATATGTAAATATTACAACCATGGTGTGTCTTTTTGCAAAGTCCTTAACTAAATGACTTACTAATTTTGCTGTGCTGTAAAGCACCAAACTAAACTAAATAGGGTTGATTTAATTTTGACCACACTTTAAATAGTACTAATTTAAAATGACCTTTTTTTTTGCAGTCTATGTAGTGTTATTGAAATTTATGGTTACTAAGATTTTGCTTTTCTAAATAATGAAATATTTGTTGATAATTGTTAGATCTAATTAGATATTAAGTCAGAACAAGAAATATTCCATACTACATAAAACATTGATAATTCTCTATTAAAATGATATAAAGTAGATTTTTATATTTTCAGAATAATGAAGTTGTATGAATTTGCATATATGGTAAATAGTTCAAAATTTTTATTTTAGAAAATTCGTAACTCATTTCATTCCACTATACAATTTAATTGTCTTAGATTAAAATGTACATAATTTTTGAAATTGTATTTAAGAACTTACAAACCTATTTAATATTGTTATTTTGTTTAATAATTTTGT